AGTACCCCAATAAGTACAGTCAAGCGATGAGGTTCGTTCACATGACTGAAGCTTCGAAATACCTTAATATAATTAAACCAATCCAGAACAACGGTTATCTTGTTCTGGACTGGTTTAATTATATTATCATTACTTTTATCATTAGAATAGGAAATGAAAATGATGATGTTATTGCATTATTATTATTGTTATCATTATCATTATTATTGTTATTATTTTATGATCATCGTCATTATCATTATTGTTATACTTATCACTAAAGTCATCATCATAATCACTATCATCATTATCTACATTATCTTTCGTTCATTCCTTGCCCATTGTTTCTTCCTCCTTTCCTCCTCATCTACCTCTTCCGTCTTATCATTCCTCCACCTTTTTTTTCTTTTTTATCTCCTATCCTTCCTATTACCTATTCTCTTTTTTTTTCCTTTCTCCTTCTTCGTCTTCTTTTCTTCTCTAATCTTTCGACTTTTCCTCCTCCTCTCTCCTACTCCTTTTTTCGCTTCCTCTTCCTCCTCTTCCCCCCTCCTCTTCCATCACCTCCTTCTCCTCTTCTCCCCTACTCTACCTCATTCCTCCTCTCCCTTCTCTTTGTCTTTATCACGATTCCCCTCTCATCTTTTCGCCCTTCTCCTCTTCCTTCTCCTCCACTTTTATTTCTTCTTCTTCATCCTCATTTTCCACTCAATCCTTAACTATGCTCTTTCCTCTTCCTCTCCCATCATTCTCCTCTTCCTCATTCTCTTCTTCCTCTTCATTCTCATCTTCCTCCTTTTCCTCCGCGTTCTCCCGGCGTTTCTTCCCTCCTCGCTCTCCCTTCTTCTTCCTGCACCCTCTTCCTGTTCGTCCGCCTTCCCACTCCTCCTCCTCCCCCGCCTCCTTCTCTTCCTCTTCCCCCTTTTCTTCTTCTTCATCCTCCTTTTACTCCTCTTCAACATTCTCCACTTCCTCATTCTCTTCCTACTCTTTCTTCTCCTCCTCTTCCTCCTTTTCCTCACCCTCCTCCTTCCTCCTTCCTCTTTCCTCTTCTCTTTGACAATATTGTTTTTAACATAAGCTTTCGTCTTGTTGCTGAGCACTCTCTTGCCTCGCCGCGCGCTTTGGCTTAGTTGACGAGGAAACGTGGCAGTTGGGCTTTTTGCCGATTGTGGTCTTATGCCGGTTGTCACGGTGTGTGGTGTGTGTGTGTGTATGTGCGGCGCCGCGCGCGCGCGTGTGTGTGTGTGTGTGTCTGTGTGTCTGTGGTGTTGTTTGTGTGTGTGTGTTTGTGTCTGTGTGTGTGTGTGTGTTTGTTTGTGTGTGTGTGTGTGTGTGTGCTGTGGTGGTGTGTGTGTGTTTGTTTGTGTGTGTGTGTGTGTGTGTGTGTGTTGTGTGTGTGTGTGTGTGTGTGTGTGTGTTTGTTTGGTGTGTCTGGTGTGTGTGTGTGTTGTGGTGTGTGTGTGAAGTGTGTGTGTGTGTGTGTTGTCGTGTGTCTGTGTGGCGAGTGTGTGTATGTGTGTGTGTGTCCTTGTGGTGTGAAGCTGTGCATTTTTCTCCCGTCCTTTA